ATTTTGTCTCTGTTGAGCAGAGCTTGCTTTCTGCTTCCTGGTGCCATGTTCCCAGCTGCTTTCCTTGACCATGCTTTTCCACCATGATGTTCTACCTGGCTTGAACCCCAAGGAATGGAGCTGGCTGTCTAAAGACTGAGACCTCTGAAACCATGAGCCCCCAAATTAACATTTTATCCTAAAATTGTTCTTGTCAGGTTGTTGGTCACAGCAGTGAAATAGCTGACAAAAACAAAAGAGAACCGAGATGATGCCCTAACACTAACACTGGCACCAGCTGCCAGACTTGTAAGTATGGCACCTTGGGCTTTCCAGATTAGAAGAAAGCTCCAGCTAAATACAGCCACTTGAGGAAGTTCCCTGCAAACTAGCAAGGAACTGCTGGCCAACCCACAGAATACTGAGCAATAATACCTTAATGTGTCCTAAGCCACTAAGTTTTGAGGAGGTTCCATTCAGATCCAAAAGTTCACTGAGAGGCCAAGTGCAAGAAAGAAAGCTGCAAAAATTTCAGTTATTAAGGCCTTAGTTTGGAGTCAGTAATTGAAGAAAAGAGAAATAACTTATTATTTTTTTTGTTTTGGACTGAGTTTCCCTTTCTTGTGAGACCCAGAAAACTCGCAGAGGAAGAAGTCCTCCCCACCCCCGCCTTATCCTTGGGGAGGATTAGGAAACGGACAGCTGCAATGAATGAAGCATTATTGAAGGTCTTTCCTGGACATCGCCTTTGAGTTCTTGGGAGGAAATCCAAAGAATTATAACTAAAAGTTGCTGAAAATATAAATGGCTTTGTTTCTTGAATAAAGTTTTCTTTCAGCATTCCCAGGCCTTTGTCCAAGCCAAGGCAGAATCACAGCTATCAGGCCAGCTGGGAGAACAGGACAGTTTGCAGTCAGCCCTAGAGGCTCTGTCTGCAGGGCACCTTTTCCTCCCTGCAAGGAATGGTTTGATTGTGTGGCAGTGCTTCTCCTGCCTCTTGTGTGCACAGGGCTTGGTTAGTTATCACTGCCTCTGCTCTGCTCTCCTTGCTCTGACACTGAGCAATGTCCTCTATGAAGCCTCACACCCTTCAAGAAAAGGCCTTGTTCATTCATGACCCAGGGGAAAATTGAATAGAGAAGAAAAGGCCAAAATAGAGGTTCCTGCTGTTTTTCTGTTATCATTCAAATGTGAATCCAGACCCTCCTTGGACGTGGTTTAATCATTTTAATGAGGTATTGAACTTGCTTCCCCTAGTGAAACTTCTAAATTAGTGTAATTTAGAAGACCATAGGCGACATAATAATTGATCTCTAGCCACATGTTCACATAGTTCTATTATTCTGGATTTTATATGCACAGATAAAACATATTTAAGAACCTTTTTTAAAAGGGAATTTTCAAATGCCCTTTTAACAAGTTAATGTTGCTGAGCTTGGTGGTGCAAACCTGTTATCCCAGCTCCTGTTATCCAGGCCGAGGCAAGGAGGATCACAGGTTGGAGGCCAGCCTGGGCAATTTAGTGGAACCCTGTTTCAAAATTTAAAATAAAAAGAGCTGAGAATGTAGCTCAGTGGTAGAGTGCTCTGGGTTTCACCCTCAGTACCAAAAAAAAAAAAAAAAAAAAAGAGTTCATGTAATATGGAAGGGATGTTCAGATCACAGCCATCATCCCTGGCCTACTTCTAGCAGTGATGATAGGACTTTGCATTCATCCTTCAGACATCTGTATATGTGCACATATATGTCATACATGTGTCCACTGTTTGCCCACTCAGAACAAAACACGCTCCTATAAGAATTATTGGTAATGTCCCCTTTTACTGTCATAAGTGGTTTTTGTTTTGGTTCCTAAACCCAGGTGTGCTTTACCACTGAGCTACATCCCCAGCCCTTTCTATTTATTTATTTATTTATTTATTTATTTTGAGACAGGGTCTCACTAAATGGCTGAAGCTGGCCTGAACATGCCATCCTCCTGCCTCAGCTTTCCAAGTTGCTGGGATTAAGGGCCTGCTCCATCCCTCTCTGCTCATCAATGAAATAGGTAAGTCATGGTCTTGAACCAAGTTCCCTAGAAATAAAAACGTGAGGCAAGGATTAAGTGCTCATGGTTTATTTGGAAGGTTCAATCCCAGCGCCCTGAGAGTGATGAAAAAAGAGGAGAAAAGGGCAAGAAAGACAGGAAAACAAGGCAAAATGATACATTAGTGCCACATGAGGCCCAAAGAGGCAGCCAGCAGCAGGTGTCTTTGTCACATGGTATATCTCAGGAGGGATGGAGAATGGAACAACCATATCTCAGACAGGGACACAGAGAGGAGGAAGAGCATTGCTTATCTGCTCAGCACCTTCCTGTTGCTAATCCTGTTCAGTCCCACCAAGATTTAAATCCCCTACAGTTCTGCATTGCTCAGTTTATTACCATTAGCAGCTGCTTGAAAGTCAGCTTCTGTATCCTGCAGCGTGGCTTTTCATCCAAGCTTGGAACTGATGATAGGATCCAGAAATTTAAGTAAGCCTCTCCTCCTGGTTGCCTGGCAGCAGACTACCAGAGGTGCAGGAGGCAGCATTTTCAGGCAAGCAACTGGTTTGCTCTAAGAAGCAGAAACAGAAAGCTGGCCATGGTGGTGCCTGAGCTTGAGTAAGCGGCTGGGAAGTGAGTTGTCAAGATGATAGTTTGAAGGTATCTGGGAGATACTAAGGATGTGCCCAATATAGTGATATAACCTGTGTAGACTCTGGATTTTTGAAAATTAATATTTCCTAACTGTGAGATAAAGAAGTATTTAAAAAGCAAAGTGATGGTAATAAAATAATATGCATTTCAACATGGTGATGCTTTGGTACTACTATACTAGAAGACAAAATGAAGTAGTTCAACATTTGACTTTTATCGAGATTTGCCATTCTGGAGGCAGCAGTGTCAGGTGGTTTGTACTGTCAGGTACCACACACAGACTTGTTTTTATTAAGTGTTAATAATCTTTGATAATGTCCTGAGCAAAACACAAACACAAACTGTCTTCCATTTACATAATAGTTGCCTATCTAGAATATTCAGAACATATTGAACCAAAATGTTTTCATAGGTAAAATGAAGTCAAGGTCTAGGCTCAGATAATTTTTTTTTAAATTTTAATATATTTTATTCAACCCAATATGTCCAAAATATCATTTCAACATGTAATCCATATAAAAATTGCCAGTGAGGTATTTTACATTCTTTTATACTGAGTTTTGAAATCCATGTGTATCTTACATTAACATCTCACCTCATTTTGGATTTGCCACATTTCAAGTGCTCAATGGTCATGTGTAACTGATGGCTACCATATTGGACAGTGCGGCTCTAGAACCTGTTTTTTCAAGAACTGGACATCCATTTGTGTGTGTGTGTGTATTTTAGTGTGAAATTAGGGGCAACATATACAAAAAAAAAGTGATCACTGTGCAGGCGAAACAAAACACACCTACACAGGGGGCTACTGCAGCTGCAGAACATTTGTTTACAAACTGGACAAAGGGATGTGGGTTGTGGGGAGTCAAATTTGGGTTCCACTGGTCTCTTTTTTGAGGCTTCATGTGTAACAGGCCCTGTACTTGGTTCTGGAGGTACAGAAATAAATACAACACGGTCCCCATGGGCATCTACAGAAAATGGCCACAGTGCAGTGGGACAGGAAGTACTCTGACCTGGGAAATGGGAGGGTTCTGAGTCTTTGCTCCTCATTCTGTCACCAGCTGGATGGTCTCAGGTGTGTCACTTAACTTCTCTGGGCTGAGTTATATTGGCTTACAACTAAAGAATTGGATCTGATTTAGACAGGCAGTTTTCAGATGGGTTCAAAGAGGTGCCTAGGGCTGAACAGGCAGGGATACCACCCTTACCCCACAGTTCACTCAGGTGGCCCTGCTCCTGTGTTTCCAATACCAGGCTTCTAAACAGAGGTCCCTTGGCTTAAAAGGGCCGGGGGGGGGGGGTGCTAAAAACACACAGAAGCAGTTAAACACAAAGGCTCTGGTGTCAGGAACTGCATATGCAAACTCCATCTTTGCCCTTACCCCACCAAGCCAGTTTCTTCATCTATAAAGAGCCCCTTCTTTAGGGAGGATAAGGGTCAAATGAGCTTATCCCTGTGATGCACAGGGCCTGGTACCTATTAAGTGCTCAGGAAATGCTAGCTCCCTGCCTCCTGAAGCTTCCATGGTTATCCTGCAGAAAGAAGATCTGGAGGCAGCTGAGCAGAGTTAGGAAGTTCTCATACAGAAGTCTGACTAAAACGAGGGTCAAATCTAAATGTTTACAAGAGCCACACAGGTTACCTAAGGGCAAGAAACAGGCCAGGTGTGAAGCCAATCCAGAGAGAGACCTAGAAAATATTTCATTTGCCTTTTAACGCTACACAAACAAATCAAAACAAAACAAACAAGACACATGGTGTCAGTCCAATAATGAACTACAGCAGCTCCACAGCCAAGTCCTGGGGACTGTGGTGAAATGCTCACATCCCCTCCATTCAGTGCCTGCCATCTGCTACAGTCCAGAAGTGCAGGCCCAGCACCGTCAGGCTGACAGCTCAGTGAAAATCTGGTTTTGAAAGGCTGGTGACCCATTCTTTTTTCCTTCCTTTCTTTAAAAAAAAAAAAAAAAAAAACACCATGTGGCTCAACAAAATGCATCACAGTGCCATTCGAAGGCGGGCCAGGGGCTACCCACTTGTGGCCTCTGACATACATGTTCTGGAGAGTCCTCCGCAGCCCTGAGGGTCTGGAGGGCCATCAGGCAGTTTCTACGGCAAGATTCTTACAATCTTCAAGATTTTCTCCAAAACCTCTTCCCCAGCAGAGCCGTAAGAATCAGGGTGCAGCTGAGTCTTGGAAAACCCCATTTCTCATCTTCCTGCTCCTCCCAGGCCTCTGGTCACCAGGGACAGTCCATAAGGAAAAAGCAGAAGCAGAGAGGGGTTGGGGTAGGACCCCACATATGCCAGAGAGAGGGCAAGGAGTAGCAAAAGAGGTATCATTTTCCTCTGTTTATTTCAAGAGAACAAAGAATTAACCATCAAATTCTGTACAAAAACATGGCATCAGAGCTGTGGCAACCCTTATGCCAGCCCCTTCCCATGCCTGAGCCCAGAGCCCCCCTCATTTGTGAAAAAACAGGAAAAAACCAAAAACTCAAATTCTGGGGGGGGCGTTATTATGAAAAATCAGGGGAAACCTTCCTGGGCCCCCCTTCTTCCCTATCCCCAACCCAGGAACTTGAGTGGAGGCGCTGTGGTCCTGGCCACGGTGAGAAGTGGGGCAGGCAGTGGGCAGTTTAGTGTTCGGCAACCAGTGGGGCTGTGGGCAGAACCTGGAAAGGCCTGAGGGGCTCGAGGACGGGAAGAGACCCCTGGCCCGGCCTTGGCCCATAGTACACTCGAAAACAGTTTATAAAAATTGGGGCCAGAGAGTAGAAGAGAAAGGAGTCATCAGAATCAAAAACTAAATAGTGGAAAGATTTTTTTTTTCTTCTCTAAAAGGCAAAAAACTACAAACAGCCCAGGTCCTGAGCTCCCCAAGACTTGGGTCCTCCATTGCCCGCCACCCCAGCCCGGTAGGAGTGGGTATGGGGAGCAGGGAGAGATGGATTCTTTAAAAAGTCACCCCTGGACGGGAAGGCTCGTCTTCTGTCACCTTCCTCTGCCTCCCGACACTGCCAAGGAGAGGGCTGGTGAGGACCGGGGCTATGCCGGCAAGCTTAGCTTCTTCCCCTTTAGGACTTTGGTGATATAGAGGTAGATGAAATCGCAGTAGAGGACAGTCTGGACCAGGCCAGCCACGACGGCGATGAGATCGAAGAAGCCCTCAAAGTGGTAGCGCCAGATCCAGTTGAAGAGATACAGGGTGCGGTAGACGCCCAGGGCAAACAGGTAGTGGCTCGTGATGGTCTCCGCCTCGCCAGTCTTGCTCACCATGAACAGTTGCGGCAAGATGGCCACCGACTCCAGGTGGATGGAGAAGGTCCAGAGGATCTCCAGAGGAGTGAAGTCGTGGTTGACCAGGAATGCCAGGATGGCTGTGGGGACAACAAGGAACTCCACCCGGAACGTATCGTGGTTCCCACCCTAAGTGGCTTTGAACTTGCTGTAAATCATCCAGACCGTGGTGAAAGAGCAGGCTGTGTAGACCACCTTCATGCACGTGTTGTAAAGTGAGATGTAGTTAAAGAAGAGGTCCAGGTAGCCGGCAGTGAACACCACCGCAAACAGGACCTGGCTCTTCCCTGAAATCCCGGCACACGAGCGGGACTTCCAGATTTTAAGCAGTAGCAAGATGATGGCTAGGAGGTGGGACAGGTCTCCCAGGAATCGGAAGAGATTCATGGCTGGGGGGGGCTCTGGCAGGGCTGAGCTGGAGGGAGGCAGGCTGGTGGGGGCTGCCCCCCGGGGCTGCTGTTCTGGCGGGCAGAGGGGCGGGAGAGGGACCCTCCGGTGGGCTCCACTCCGGGGAGGGGGTTCTATGAGGGGGACTCAGATAATTTTAAATGGTTTTCACCTACATGGATCTCAGAGGACACACAATTGATTGGGAAGTGCTTCCATCTGATGCAGAGCTGTCCTCATCAGAGTGTCAATCAACTCTGGCTGTTGTTTATTAAATAGCAATAGTGGAGTCACTGCCTCCAATCACTGGGATAGCCAAATAGCACTGGTACAGATTTCCATAATGTTCCCAGTGGGGCATAGAGAAGTAGCAATCTTTTCCCTCTTCTTGAGAACCACTTTAAAAGAAAACACAAATGGGGGACATGCATCTTGTGGAACTTGCACGTAGAGGTTTTGTCCATATTAATATTTTGAGTTGTAGAAATATTCACACATACCTGTGTGCCAGGATTTATTTAGTATTGATGGTCACATTGACTTTTTCTTGGTTTTTGTCACAAACAATGCTGCAAAGATTGTGCATTTGTGTGATTATATCTCTAGAATTAATTCCCACATGACAAAAAGTGCTTTGCATTTTAAAATTTTATGGATTTTTGTCAAATTTCCCTACAAATGATTACCAAATAGACACCCAGTGATTGCTGAATAAGTGCCTATGTTCCTATTCCTCCTACCACTACACATTATAAAAGTCTAAATCTTGTTAACTGGTCCTGTAAAGATGAAAAAGAAAAATTTTGAATATCCTATTGAAAGCCATTTTTTCAGCTCATTTTACATTACTTAGTAGCTCTCAGCCTTGACTTGTTTTTGTATACAGGGCATTCATGTGGAAGAGAAATTGGACTTTCAGTGTTTTCTAGGGTAGAGCCAGGGTCACAACTCAAGGTTAGGCAGGCAGAAGTTTTGACTCTAAAAGCACAAAGCCTTGCAAGCAATTCTAGTCATCTAACAATGGAGTGGCCTGCCTGAGGAGATAAGGAACTCCCTCCTCTGTAAGCTGGAAATTTCAATTTCAGGCTAGATGAACATTTTCAAAGACGTTCAAGAAGAGATTCCTGAGTTTACTGGCATATTATATGAGATCAGTGTTTCCCAAAATGTAGTACCTTGACCATGGTGTGTGTGTGTATGTGTGGAGGGGTGACTTTAGGTGGTACAAACTTTAAAACATTTTTTAGTTGGTGTAAATTCATTTTTCTATGTATTTCCCATGTTGCTGTTACTGGAAAACCACATACCTAGATATATGAAGGTAATAGTGCTGAAACTATAGGTAAACTTTGAGCAAAAATGTGCTTTATGATCTCTGAGGTCTTTTTTGAAAGTTCAGTTCAAAAATCTAATCTCAAGAACTGCTGAAGTTTCAGCTAGTAAAAAGATTTTTGAATCAAAGCCTGTTACATTTATTATAAACAATTTAAAAACAATCTAAATTATAGTACAACAGAGAATTCAGGTGCTTAGAACTTGGTGCACATGTCAAATCCCATGAAAATTTAGTTAAAAATGCGAGCCCTACATCCTAGGTGAAAACCTATCCTGAAACTAGAGTCAACTTAATAATTTAGAGATAATACTAATATTTTAGAGAGTCTGTTAATGTTTACCACAATGTGATGAAAATTGTATATTTTGAGTGAATTCAGAAAAAAAGATAAGTGAACACACATGAAAACTTGCTAGTGGCGTCCCGTTTTCCACCCTCCAAAGCCAGTCTTGACAGAAAAGAATAGCAGGATTTGTCTTCATACTCCCATAGTCCTCTGTGACTGTCATGAAACTACCATCCAATCCACTATGGTATATATTTGGAATGTAATATAAACTTCTTCACTGGAAATCAGGGGTGAATATTTATTTAATCCATATATAAACAGTACATGATGTTCATGGTGCTATAAACAGACACACACACACACACACACAAACCAAAAACCTCAAGATATATCCAAAAATCATTCTCTCACCCCAGCCTACTCTGATTCCCTCAATATGGCATATTTAATATTAGTAAAATGGGATACAAAGGCCCTGTCTATTAATTTTAGGAGAATCTTTCTGACCATTAAGACCACTCTTTCTGATTTCAACCAAGCAGAGTCAATGAGCTTTTGGACAAAGGACCAGTTGAACAAATTAATTAAGTGCCTCTGCATGGGTATTTTGTGATAAACTTATGGCATTATTTTTCCTACTTACTTCAAATCAGAAAAAAAAATCATATCCATATTCCTATTGGATTTAAAAATTCCTGTTAAAATGGGTTACAGAGAAATCCTCATGCCAGAGAATTCACCCTCATCCAATGACAATAGGCAGCTTACCACAAAGTACAGATTAAAATATTGCTCATCAGTATGGTTTCCAGGTAGGGACAAACACTGTAAATTTAATAATTCATGAGATTGCACACAAAGCAAATTGGAAAAAAAATTCCCCCAAATGACTTGGTTATCTGTTGACTCAGATATGATACAAATCTGAGCCTGTGCCATGCACACTAACACACATCCAAATAAGATGAAGATATACACTATTCATTCTAACTTTATGAATTCAGAATGAGAAAAAAAATTGATTATTTGAAATTATGCATTATAGCCACTCTGATACGATACACTTTAATTGGGAAGAAAAAATGGTTCACATACACAACTGTCTTGGCAAAATTTTCTAGTTCTTTGCTAATAATACATTTTAACTTACTTCAGAAAATGCATTAAGTTTATTCAAATATATTTTTCCTAAAATATAAATATTTAAATTAAATTTTTATAAATGTAGAGGATATAGTTTCTGTTGACTCTCACACAAATATCAATCAGTCCAAGACTTAAGTGATAAGGAAATAATATCTGTAATTATTATGATCATTTTAATTTGTCTATAAATATATATAGGATCTTTGCAACTTAATTAAGAGTCATTAACTCATACTTCATGTAGTACCGAGCACCTTAGATTACATATTGTTGAATTAAACTATTGGCATTAATATAGGCATTTTAATATGTTATTTACAATACACAAGTATAATTCTCTTGTATAACAACATTCCAGTGATTTTGAAAATATATAATGAAAGAGTGCAGTGTAATTTACAAATGTGTCAATGTTTTCCTACAGTATTTAAGCTAAGACTTCACTCTTCAGTATCTTAAAATAGGAAACAAACAACAAAATGTCAATGACCTAAAGCTTTGTTTACTAAAGTATGGTTTATAAAACGTTAGCTTCACAAGATGCTCCCAGAAAGTTCTGTGGGTAAATGTAAGGAAAGACACACTGGATCCACCCACCCAAAGCCCACTTGAAGAATTGTAATGAGCATTAGAGTTTCTGAAGTGGCTGGCAATCATGAAATCTGTTTAACATTTTAAAACTTAGTATTGAACAAAGATTTTTATTACTAAACCCCTATCCAACTGACCCTGGTCAAAGTACCACCCAATCAAAGCCCCTTGGAACTAATGTTGTATGATACTACATACTTTGGGGAAATGTGCTTTAAAATAAAACTTTGCAACTGAATAAACATATACATATAAGGGAGCAAAATTACTTTTTTAAAAAAAAACAGTTTCACTTTTTAAAGCTCTTTGCATAGGTATTTGCGAAAATAAGACTCTTAAAACACACAGGTCTAACACAGAACACTTGTCGACATAAACTACAGGGGAAAGAAGTACAGAAATGCTTACAGAAATTGTAGAGCTAATTTTGAAGGTTTGAGAAAAGTGACTCCAAAATCAAATAATGGATGTTATTTTTGGTGAATTAATTTTGAAGGATAGATGCAAAAGCATTAAATCAGTAATGTGTTATATACTGTCTCAAAATATTTTCATAGAAAAATATCAGGTCATTATATTATTTCCCTGGAATCCCAAGAATTGCAGATGCTACCAGTAGATTTCACCATATTGCTGGGTCCATATGTAAAACTCAGCATCATCCAGAATTACATGAGACTGTTCGATTACTTGCTTGAAAATGCATGCATACAAGCACAAGCAGAATGAAAGGTCAATCAATTGCTGAGTGCTTCCACTGAAAACAGTGAAATGGGGGAGAATTAATTAACCCTCCAACCTGGTGGATTGTTTTATATATATATAATCATACATATGCATATATGTATCAGATGACACTCTCTTTTTAAAAATACCCACAATTTTCTTTCTATAAATAAAGCTGTCAGTTTTGGCTATAAGATAGCAGACCTTGGTGTAAGTGTAGTCCCCAAATTAATCATCTTTTGTACACACAAGTCTTCAGCAAATCTTTGCAATTTAAGCAGTCTACTTTGGCTCAGATTCTGCTAGCTTATAGCTCAGATCAGTATCTGATGCTTTATTTAATTCCTGCTCAGCCTATGCCAATGACAACACTTTGGAATCATTCTACATCACTGAAAAAGAATTCATTAAGAAAAAAGAAACAACAGCTGCTTCATACTTCAATGAAAGGTGGGTTTCCATTTGAAGTATTTTTCTTTCTCTACCAGTGAAAGTCAAGTTAACTAGAATTACAAAATAAAATCACAATAGAACTAGGGATCATTGTTGCTGGGATGGAGGGAGTAAGTGAAAGTATCCATTTCTCATGTATTCAGCCCTTGCTTACCTGGGTGAACCAGTCGCCTAGAAACTGGTATGATTAAGATCTGCACATGCTGTTCTAATGGCCATGTCCTTGGTTGTCATATTTTAGAAGCTATGCTATGTCATATCATCTTTTTAACCTCATTCTGTTCTAAAAAGTTCTAGTCTGATCTTCCTCATGGTGTTTTCTTAGCGCACCCTGTGTAGTTGCTGAAACTGACAGAGGACCTGGGACAGCTGCACATGACTCCTGAGACCTGAAGCTGGCCATGGCATGCTACATCGGGTGCACTGCTCACTACAGGTGGTGCCTGATGTCACACTCCAGTGGCACTGCAGACCTCTTTTCTGAGGCAAGTTGCCCCTCTGTTTAGGCCACCAAGCCCAGTCTTGTAATCTTAGCCGAGAGAAAGGAATGAATGATGAAGACGATCGGCTTGGGGCAGGAATGAAGATCCAGTTGCTGAAATTTAAAAAGAGAGCATGAGAGATGTTAAATTAATGCTTGATGCAGAGTAGTGATTTACACATCAAACAGATCTATGAGCACCTCGGCTTTTAAGCATTAACTGGAGCAATTATGTTTTGAAATCATTGCCTCCCAGCGAGATAAAGGAGTAACTCTTTGAACTTGTTTCTTGCATCTCATACATCTTTTTTTCTGAAATAGATTTTGTGAAATTTATCTATATCAATCCCATAAATATTGATGCTACTTATTTGATTTGCCATTTTGACTGTCCAAACCATTTATTTTTGTCTCCACAATCATGATATTTATGTTGGGTTTGGGTCAGCATGGAGCAATACTAAATTACACACCTAAAGATGAGGTTTAAGTCCAGATTCTGGAATTTTTTAGATGTATAATCTTGGCCAAGTCACTTAAAATTATTCTCAGTCCTACTAACCTGCAGGTCATAAGAGTATTAAATAAGATATAGCACGTAAAAATTCCTTGTCAACTGGGACCAAAGCCTAAGCAGCTGTGTGTCCTCATTGTCCTTGACTTACACCTGGATAAGCAAGTGTGTCACATCTCTGTGAAGGTGACTTATAAGGCTTGTCCTTCTCAGTGTGATTCCTGCAGAACCCAGCATACACATGGTAGAGCATGAAAGTCCTTCCCATGTGGAATTCTTCACTTGATCTGATTTAGGAAAATTGGGGTAGCTATACCAGTTCTCTTCTGTTTTCATTTTTGTCCTGATGATGACACTGTTGGAGATGAAGAACTGGAGATGACAATAATATCTACCAAAGCTAAGACTGTGCTCATTACAAGTCAGGTACTGAGCTTCTCTCTATCTTACTTAATTCCCTCTCACAAAATCCCTGAGTTAGCTACTGTTGCCATCTTTATCTTTTACATGGAAAAGCTGAGATTTAGAGAAGCTGTAAAACTTTCTGAAATTGTAGATCTTACAGTGAGTAGAAACTGCAGACACAAATATAAGTCTATCTGATGCCACAGCCAGGGCTTCATCGCAACGTTCTATGTCACTAACACAGAGCGCAGCTTTCAGAAAGAATATTAAAGATCACCCGTTTCACTCCCTGTATTTATGAATAGGGTGACTCAGATCCAAAGAAATTTGGAGTAAGTTGTTTGCAGATTCAGAGAGAGAATCTAGGAGACCTTCTACCCTCAGTCTATTGCATTTGCTACAACTCCTCTCTGATCTATTCCCCATACCAGAAAGGCCTGCTGCCGCCTTCTGGGATTGCTCAACCATACATTCAGGACTGTGTATGAACTTGAGCTATCAACCCAGTCTACCAGGAATAAAACAGTCCTTCCTAAATCTTCCAAGTCAGGTTGTAATTACAAGCAGGAAGGCTGGAATTTAGACATAAGTGATTTTCCTCATGGGCAAAAATAGTCTTGAATCTTTAAGCCAAGAACAAAATAGGAGACTGATTCCTGTTCTTTTCCACTTTGTTAGAGTAGTCACCTTTAGGAAAAAGCACACAGCTGAGAGTGATTGATAGAGCAGCAATAGAACTAGAAATATTCTTAATAAAATGGACTTTCACATCACATCTTTATTTCCAAACTGGTTGCTTTAGGCTATAATTAAAGATTGAAACTCGCACAAACCAAACAAGAATTCAAAACAATTCTGTAGATCCATTGTAGAGGTAAGAAAAAAATGATTATCTAGAAAGAGTTCCCAGAAGCTAGTGGAGGTCAAACATGAGCCACAGAAGTGAACTTCATGGTGATTACCTGTGGCACCCACAGCAGGGAGCCTGGTCCTGTGCTGGGGTGAGCAGCGTCACATGATGTAGAACAGTGAAGTTTTGACAGAATAGGCCCTGAACTCTGTTAAATGTGACCTGTCCCTTCAACCAACTACTTCTGGGTATCCCAAAATTGTTTCCAGAAAAATTAGCAGTAAAGTCCCACAGGAGAAATAACTATAATAAATGTGGAAAGACAGAAATAGAGGAAGAATTGTGGAAAGCCAGCAGCTAAACTGAAATAACTGGATTTTACAAGTTGAGGTTTGTCTCCTGTGTTTTACATATTCTCCATCCCTGTTATCAAGGGGAGGTCAACAAATAGTTCTTGATTATCTGGGTGGCTAGGAAGGAGTTGGATAGAAACTAGTTAATATAAAATCTAGGGCCTCTTTGAAGTTCTGTACTTGACAAGCTAAATGAAATGCTATATCTTCCTGGGAAATGCCCACAACTACACTTGCCTGAATTCAGATGAAAGCACTGTTCTCACCCTCTGTGGAACTGAAGTAACATATTTTTCAACATAGCAAGCAGTAATGATCACAGGCAATCATGTATTTAAACACATGGACTATTTGCATTGGTATGAGAAATACAAATATGACCTTCACCAGTAAATGTGCTAATTCTGTTATTTGACATGAGCCCCAAACTTCTGTGCCCTTCTGGGTCCTTCTTTCCACTCGGGTAGAGTTGACCAGTTTCTTGTGCATTTTTTCTGCCCCTGCTACTCTGCCCCTTGTCCAGCTCTACCTCTTTGCTCTTGTCCTCTCTGCTCCTCTGAGGCCTTGTGATGGCAGGGAATGCTTCATCTACCTCCCTGTGTCCCAACACCTGGCACAATGCCAGGACCTTATGGCTGCTCCATACTTCTAAAAAATGTCACATTTTTTAAACTTCTGAGACCTTATTTGATAAGAATTTAATGCTAACCTTATAAAGGATTCTTTCCTTTGATTCAAATATTTATGCAGTCTTCTAATGAAAAACAAAGCCGAAGAAAGAACATTGAAATAATTGAATCTAATCACTGTTTTTCAAGGATCAAATAAAACATAGGTCTGCAAGTACTTTGTTGAGTCAGATGCTCGGTGAATACAGTTAGCCCTGTGTCTAGGACTCCTCACAGGTGGGTTGCATGATAAAAGAAATGCAATCGCACTGTCAAAAGAGAAGTACACTTACAATCTCTCCTTCTTTGCCTCCAAAATCTAAATACAGCATCCTGATTCCATCGTCAGATGACATTTTGAGCTTTTCGTAAGGGGACTGTATGATTGTCTTGGGAAAGGCACCCTCCTGTGGCTCAGTGGAGACAGAAAATCCGTTCTCATAATGGATGGTCAGGCGGCACTCCTGGTTTTTGTAGGTGCAGGCTGAAGGAGAGGGGAAGGGAGAGAGAAATAGAAATGGTGGAAATCAATCTGTCAATTGATTTTCCCAGGTGCTTAATACTTCTAGTTTCCTCAGTCCCAGAGAGTAGTCACAAATTTCTTACTAAAATTAAAAAAAAAAAATAGTAGTTGTTCACAAAAATATCCACTTTGGATTGATTTTTTTTTCTTTTTCCTTTTTTTTAAGGCTTTCATTAGTGTATTATAGTTATATATAACAGTACGGTTCATTTTGACATAATCATACGTGCATGGAACTTTATTTGCTCCATTTCAGTCTCCAGTGCCTCCTATTTTCCTCCCCTCCTCCCTCCCCCTATTTCCCTTCCTCTACCTACAGGTCTTCCTTCTTTGATTTATTTCCTTTTTTTAAAATTGGTGCTTTTTTGTAGGAAAAAACATAAAGGTGGAATTCACTATGGCATATTTTTATACATGTACATAATTTTGTCAAATTCAAATATTTGGGTTGTTTTGATATGATAATTTCCTAGCCCCAAGAAACCAAGGGATATAAATGGAAGGAAATTCCTTTGGGTGAGATTCATTGAATATTTCCTTTTCTGTCCATCTGATGACACACAGGTCAAGAGGAAGGAGCACTTGCCTTCCAATGGCCAGATGGCCCTTCTCTTGAGCCAGAAAAACCCAGACATTTGATTCAAATAAAGTAAGCCACCTCTGAATCATCATTCTTCTCTTCACCATGTGGACACCACACACACATACATACACACACACACACACACACACACACACGCACAATGGTATGTCTGATGTGGGTGAAAGAAGAGGGAATTCCCTCACCATGTTCTCAAAGTTAACATGGTGTATACTAAGGAGTTCAGGACTAAATTGGAAAAAATAATCTGGTTTTTTATTTGAAAACATCTAACAAAGTTCGTTTCAGAAAGTGGTGATCTTTTAATGTCCCTGATGGTCATAAGTCCTGGAAAAGCTGCTGCTAGGGAGAATCCCTGACATGGTACCTTTCATTAGAATGCTGTTTCTTCCCCTGGCCCTGTGAAAAACCCAGGAATCTCAGGGTGATATCCGAGGGCAATGTCTCATCCAAAAGAACAGGGAAGAAACCTCACAAGCAGGCCTGGCACCTGCTTTTCATTAGGGAGCCTCACTGTATTTAGAGAAAGAGTCCAGCTGTTTAAGCCTATGAGCTGCACAGGGGGACAGTCACCAGCACCCTAATCCCTAATTAGGAAGAGTTGTAAATATATCATTTAAAACTTACAATCAAAGAGTCCTGAAAAAAGTTGTTAAGTATAAGATTGGCTTTTTTTCCCCCTCACAAAACATCATATTTAATAGGCCTTGGCAGGCCAGCTGATTGGGGCTTAATCTACATCTAAATGAGGTAGGGGGAAACCAGGACATTTTCTTTGCTAGGACATTTGGGGAAGAGGAAGAGGAGGACATTACTGAGTGAGAACTCACTCTCTACCATTATTAGCTTTACTCTTACTGAAGATAACCTTAACACAAACTTCTGACGCAGGAACTTAGCCCAATATTATAGGTGGGTCTTGCAAAGCTCAAGCGAGATGAACACGTCACCATCTGGGACATTCAATGTTCAGAATCCAAGTTCTTTCCACACTGTGTCACATCTTCCCCATGGAGGGGTATGAGATGGGACCAAAGCAGAGAGTTTCTCAGGTTTCTTCTTTCATGAATAATGAACGTCAGAGTTTGGGAAAGAAATAGGGATCTCTCTTGCTCATAGAATGAAGTGGCTTTTAACTGGAGCTCTGATGGAAAAAAGCATCCCTTCCTCTGATTCACTGTAGACACCTTTTAACTTTTACTAAGGGGTGATCTTTCCTGAAGCTGTCCTTTCTAATAAGTTCCGAGTCTTTCTGTGCAGGACCTTGGGCCCTGCACTGGACCTACCTCCCAGTCCAAGGAGGACCAGGGATAGTGGCACAGAGGTAGTGATGATGCCATCTTGACTCCTCTTTCATGGACTCTACTTCTACCACTTGCAGAATACATGAGTCAGCTCTCAACATGGTCATTTTATCCTTCCTCCATGTATGAACCTTGCACTGTGTCTTCAGATATTCCCAATTAGCTGATTGTGATGAATTTTAACTCCAATTGAACTCAAGTGGTATTTGTGGCCTTTATATAATGGAAGCAGCTATCTAAAGATGTTTTCAGTCTACACAGGATAAATTGAACACATATTCACATTAACTGAAGCTGTGATTAGAACAGAAATCCTTTCCTCCCACTGTCTACAGGCATCTTTCAAGTTGTAACTGGGTTGCACCTTTAGTCGCTTCCTTTATTCTCTGACATCACTCAGCTAGCTCAGCTAGCTTTGTTATTCTTCTTTGGCTAGTTGATGAACAGCCTCATTATTTTCCTATTGAAGTGGAATTCAGCATATTAAGACAGAAAGATTTTGCAAAATTTAAAATAGAATGTCAACTTAACCAAATTCCTTTGGATATCTTTATTCTTTTCTAGTACACTCCCAAAAATGTTGCATGGAATCTTAATTTGCTGGCATTACATGTATAAATGTATTAAGTTTGGGTGGTTTATGCCTTTTCACTCTCAGGTCAAAACTCTAGTGTTTCTTGTCATAGAGCATAGGCATCAAAGATAAAAGCTTCAGGGTCATTCCCAAAGGATTATCAATACTGAGGGGAAAGATATGGGGGTATAAATTAGTCTTGAGGTAATTATATGAAGGCACTTATTATCTTGGACAAATTGAAGCAGAAATTCTACAAAACATCTGACTTTTCAAATACAATAGGTAGTACAAGAAGTAATACATGGTAATATGAGTTCCCTCTTTTAGAATGCTCCTTGGTGCCTGAGAAGTTGCACCTTAGCATAGTACTACTCAAAGAGTGGTCCATGGACCAACAGTATCAGTGCCACCTGGAATCTATCAGATATCATTCTCAGGCCCCATCCCAGAACTGTTTAATCTGAATCTTTGGGGGGTGGGGAGGGTCAGCAATTTAAGGTTTTTGAGGATACAAAAATAAAATTATTATGATGATTGTTTCCATTGCAGCTAAAGTTTGGAAGCATCATTCTTAAACATCTTGTAGGGAATCTTCTTCCTTTAGAGTAGAGCTGATGGAAATGTTGCAGATTTACATTGTCCAGCAGAGTAACCATCAGGTACATGTGACTACTGAGCACTTGAAATATGGCTAGCACAACTGAGGAAATAATTAAACTTCAATCATTAAAATTTACATAATCACCCAAAGGCCACTATATTAGACAACATAGGTCTGGAGATAATAATAATAAGAGCAATTAATAATACTACCTACTGATAACAAACCTGGAATTGAGTCCTATTATTCCTATTACACCTCTGAGGTATTGTTCTCCTGTGTTTATAAATGAAGAGATTAAAGGATTAAGGAAATAATTAATAAAAAATAGAACTGGAATTTGAATCCAAGCCTATTTGAATTTAAGAACTTAATAGTCACCCCAATTGTGACTATAACCTTGTACTGCTTCCACAGAAACAGAAATAAAAGAACATAAAAGAGATACCATAAAAGAAGAGGGAAGACAATACTACAAGAAAAAAGATCCTAAGAAATTCAAAATTAGAGTTAATGGAAGACTTGCTGAGGATATGAGTGGCTATGTCACTCACATGATGCCCTCTTTACCAGTGTCCCCAAGAGACCTGAGAAAGGTTGGTCATAGATCTGAGAACCAGAAACAACCTGTTAGATCTCAGGAGTAGGAAAAATAACATTCTAGACCCTGCCAACTGTGCATTGTGCTTGCTGACAAAGGACTCTGGGTTAAATAGGAGTCTGCCTTAGCAAAGGTACAAGACTCTACAGTATGAATTTTGTCTATTAATGTTACCTTAGATTCATATTACTTTTCCAGTCTCTTATTTTACCTTTTGCCCAATTAAAGAATTAAATTATATGTGTCTACATATGTCTGTATATTTATATATGTTTTGATAGCTGTCTATCATCTATCTGTTTTAGAGGACAACATTCAAATTACTTATCACAGCAACATGAACAGAATTACTGACTATGACTCACTGGTATAGCAGGGGATAGTGAATGAGCAATGGAATTCAGGGTGACATAGTCTTGTTAAAGTCTGTTCTGTCATTGACTAGTTGTGTGGCTTTTGGCAAGTTACTTAGCCTTTCTTAAGAATTTGCTTCCTGATTTGTGAAGGTGACAAGGGAATTGTGACTCTTTGATTAGATAGGCAATTTATTGTGACCCAGGACCATGCATTTACATGCACACATATGCATATACACCCTTGAATCAAAAGTTCTACAAAACATTAAAATAATATCTACATTGACATCTCCTTTCTATGTTATCCAATTTTGAAAAAGTTGGCTTTGCCTTCATTAATTGATCTTGAACCCACAAAAAGTTATTTCTTACTGAAAAGGGAAAAGAAAAGACATTATATAAAATACCTAGTGTACAGTGGTTACTCAATAATTGATATAGTGTAGCTACCTAATATATTTCCAATATTATTCTGTGAAAAATTACTCTGAATCAGTTCAGGTGGCTTATAAATAAGAATCCTATTAGTTCATGCCTCAAAGTTCCTGCCTTCCAGTAATCCACCTACTGGTTATGGATAAGAAAATGGTAACTGACGATCCAAGTTACCTGCCAGCTTTCTTGAATGAAGGCAAAACAAGGTTTTTCACCATAAAAACCTTTGCTTATATTTCAGTTGGGCATACATTGCCTGGGTCAAGAAAAATTTACAGTTGCCTCTGAAATTTTAAGTACCTCAGAAGGCCAGTAATGGGAACTACTTTGAGGCCAGTGGCGGATGTATCCTTCCTACAAGAGTGACACAGTCAACCCACAGCCAGCCCACAGCCAGCCCACCCCCAGCCCACCCTCAGCAGTACTCACGGGTGGTGATTTCCGCAATGAGTTCTGCCGAGTTGTGGCACCCCTGTACAATGCTTCTGGTCCAATGGGAGAGGTCCCTGCTGATCTCTGCCCTGAAGAGGTGTGTTTCAATCCCTTGCTTGGTACCAGTTCGGGTTGCAAAGGACAGATCCATGCCAGCCTGAGGTGATCCCTTCCCTGGACCTGAATGTACCAGCCTGGGGTGGGGGTGGGAAGGAGAGATTGTTATCAAAATATTCCTTTATCCACTGGGCATATTACCTAGTAGAAGCTCCACATTGGTGATCTATTTTCATTTTTTGTGATCTCAAACCAAATGGATACACTCTACCCTTCCACGTTTTTCTGCCCATCCAAAGGTAGATTCAGATCAAGAAGCTTCCAAGAGCTGCACATATTATTAAACTCAGAGGAGTCAAATAATGACTTTAACTTGTGCAAATCCTGCTATACTCATTCAGCAAAAAAAGAAAATAAATGAGATAGAGAAGATAATTTAAATGGCTGTGTAAACTTCTTTCCAGCATTCCATTCCTGAGCCTCTACATGTCCCAGCATGAACATGAGATGGGAAAGTGAATCTGATGTTTCCTTGTGGGACTCAGTTCCCCTAGATCTTTGGTAGTCAGGAGGACCAGGCTGCAGTGCATATTCTTCTGGGTGGGTACTTTTGTTATGCAGATGATCTTCAAATGAAAACAAATAACTGAGGACTCAATTGAAGAAGCTGCATGCAGTCTGTTGATCCTTGCTGGAGAAAGAACTGGCACTGGAGACTCTTCACTTCTTGAGAAACAGCAGAAAACTGTAGTTTAGAGGGAATATAAGGGATTTTCAAGAGAGGGTTTTTTATTTTTTCTACGTAAGATTTTCTCAGTGACTTTAGAACTTATCCTTGGCATAATATGTGACTTGGGTAGTAAATAATTTTCTAAAAGGCCAGACTTAAAATGTGAAGAATCAAAGCGCTCTGAGCACCACCTTCTGAGCAGGCGCTGGCTCCTGCTTCTCACTCATCACCTTGAAAAGACTCCTGCTCCTTGATACCTCAATTCCTTTTGGGAGAGACTCTCATATCAATCATTTGCAGGGCAGCGTGAGTATAATTTTGTAAATGTTACTTCTCTCCAGGGTATTTGCATTTTCATCCTTATCTTTGAATACAGAGAGCAACACTTTACCATTTGCTAGAGAAATGCCAGTTGTCTAGCTCCATGGTGGATGGGAGGGTTATTTTCTTAGGCAAAGATCTTGTTACCTCTAGATTAACAATTGCGCAAAGGAAATACAAAAGCTTATTTTCTCTCGTAAACCTAAATACTGTCACACAAAATTATCAATGGAATAAAGTGTATTTATAGCCTGTTGAATTTCTAGAAAAACAAGATTGTTATATGACTCTGAGGCACTTTCTTTGGCTTATAAAGTTAGAATTTGGAAGGAAAGGTGGTGATTTGCAACCAGTTTGAAGGACAAGGTTAGCTGAAAAGCCTTTTGGCTGTGAGGTTCATTAAAGTTAGGGAAGTCCATGATCTCCCTGGAAATAGAGTCTCAGACAGTGTGATGAGAGGTGGCTGCTGGTGTGGTATCCATACGGGTTTAACCTGGCAGGCTGACACCCATTGGCTCCAGAGACAGGAGGGCATTTGGTAACAAGAAGCGAGCAAGAGTGACTGAAAAGCCTGAGAAGCTGTTGGAGGATTCAAAGCCAAGTACGACTGAAGAAACCAGGAAGATTTCTCTCAAAGTTTGATATAGATTTTAATGGAATTGAGGAACAGATAAAAATTAATTAGGAAAAATGTATCTATAGCAAACAAGAAAGGTATTCACTTCTTTTCTTGAAACCTTAAAACCTCTATCAGTGGGGCCCAGGTGGCAGGCTGTATGTTAAACTGAACAAGACAGAAGTTTGGGAGGCCATCACTAAGTTCTTACTGACTAAAAGTGGAAAAGATTTATTTTTCAACTAATCAAGTGTGCATCATCTAATATTTATATTAAAGACCAGGTTGAGGGCTGGGGTTGTATTTAGCTTAGCTCAGTGGTGGAGCACTTGCCTCCCATGTATGAGACACTGAGTTTGATCCTCAGCACCACATAAAAATAAATTAATAAAAAAATAAAGGTGTTGTGACCACCTACAACTAAAATTATTTAAAAAAATAAAAAGAACAGGTTGATTTTCAATCTAAATAACACACATGTTGACTTATTTATTTTGAACAAGACAATATTACTACAGTACTTTCTGGAAACTCTGAGATATAAGCAAATTGTTGTTTCTACTATCTAGTGTGTATACTGATAATAAAAGAATATTTTCTTTAAATCTAAATTATAATAAAAGAATATTTTCTTTAAATCTAAATTAAGTGAAGTACATCAGGCATAAAAAGCTGCATTTGGACACCATTCAATTCTGTCTGCCATGTGTTAGATCTTTTAAGAATCACTACCTCATATGATAGTGTTTTGAAATGAAATACAATAATCTGTGTATTGGAGCGAGCACAGAAACCAGCATGTGGTGTATACTCAATAAATATTTCCATGTCTTATACCTACCCTCAGTTTTCTTATTTTAAAAGTATAATTCCTGCCCCAAAGAATTAGAATTAAATTTGATAAAATATATAGAGCATTTAGTTCAGTATTAGGTATATTGTAGTTAACATTCCATAAAAATTGGTTCCCTTATGCCTTGCTTGGCCTAAGTCATTCTGACTTTCCACCCTCTGAAATTCCATCCAGAGGGCGTCAACTCTGTCACAATCTGGTTCCAGCATAAATATGTTGTAAAGGCAGAAGCAAAGCGAGAACAAGATAAATCACCCTCATGGGGAATGTGGTGTATGTGTGTATGTGTGTGAACTTCTGACCAATATTTATTTTTCTGGAGAGACTATACAATTGAAGCCAATAATAACTGGAAAATTTAATTTGTTGGAAGATGCACACTTGGTAGCTCTGAGAATGAGAAATGATATTACTAACAGGATGTAACAAGGTGTGAGAAAGCCCTGTATCAGGTTGACCCATGTCATGTACCAGGAGTCATTGGTGTGGAAGCCCAGCATGGTACAGGAATAATGATGAGAAAAGGAGCCCTTGAAGACAGGGCTGTTGGTGTTCTGTTGTTATCCATCCCATCACTAAATTCTTATTGATTAAAAATGGAAAGATCGATTTTTCAACTAACCAAGGGTGAAATATCTAATAATTATATTAAAGAAAAGGTTGATTTGCCATCTAAAAAATAGCACATGTGTTGAATTATGTGTTCTTCTTTTAATATGACAATATTAGTATAGTACTGTATGCAAACTCTGAGATAAAAACAAATTTGTGTTTCTGCTGCTTAGTTTGTATATGGATAACAAAAACATTTTCTCTAAATTGATATTAAGTGAAATACATCAAATATCTGCTATACGCATGGATGCACACCCTCTGGATGGAGTATTACACAGACCTTCAAATTATTTATAAATACTATATGTAAGTGTGGGGAATAGCTGTCAATATATTTATTGTAGAGTCTTGAATATGTAATTCAACTATGTAAAATGAAAGCTTAGAAACAAATATATAAGAAAACAATTTTAGAGGTGTTTTCATTTCTTCTTTTTTTTTTTTTAGTTAAAATTTCCTCTTAAAAAATATACTACACAATTTAAAGGTGGATTGTAAAAAGCTATGAAACTGAAATGAACCCCAAACTTCCAGTTTTTAGAATCAGGGCTTCTATTACACTGAAAAGCATATAAATTCTGACTCAGTATGTCCTGAGTGTTTTGTTTGTTGCTTGTTTAGTGTTGGTGGCACTTCAGTGCTGGAATACTAAGTGGCTCAGCTATGCTGTTCTGCATTTGTTTATGTCTGGGTTCTCCTAAAAGGAATACATCCAGCTCTTAACACCCAGCCCCTGAGCCCTGGCTGTGGAACAGCCCTCCTCAGGATGAAATTAACTGATCCTCCACTGTGGCCTAATAATCCCTTACACTAAACAACTGGCCTCCAGTAAAAGACAGATAGGACAGATGCTGACACCTGCAAGCTGTAGTGATTCTTTTGGATTCAGGGTGTCCTGAGGGGCCATAGAGGAGCTTCCTGCTCTGTTCAAATTCCTTCTCTTCTCCTTCCAACAGGACACTGGAAATCACTACGCATTCATTCCATCAATGAATAAAGATTTTGCCATTCACCAGCTGATATTTTAAGCAAATATTTATTGATCACTGTCATAGACTGAACAGTGTTCCCTTCAAACTCATGTACTGAAACCCTAATCCCCAATATGACTACATTTGGAAATAAGACTCCTAAAAGGAAGTTATTAAAATTGTGGGGTTGTAAGAGTAGGGTCTTAATACAATTGGACTGTGTCCTTTTATGAAAAGGAAGAGACCTCAGAGACACAGATCTCTCTCCCTGTGTGGCTACGAAACAAAAACCATGTGAGGACACAGCAAAAAAGGCAGCCATCCGAAAGTTAAGAAGACATCTCTCATTTGAAACCAGCGTTGGAAGCGCCTGCTCTTGAATTTCTAGCCTCCAGAGGTGCAAGAACCAAATTTCTGTTGTTTAAGCCACCCAGTCTATGGTGTTTGCTATGGCAGCCCACACCATATACAGTCTATGCAAACTCAAGGCTCAGTGTGAGCACAGCAGACATGGTCCAATCCCTGAAGAGACTGTGTAATTAGGAGAGATCCTTTCTCCCCTATAAACTCCTGGATCCTCTTTACTCCAGATGCAGCCCAAGTTCTCAGGAAATTGATTTCTCAATTACAGAACTGAGTCAAAGCCAGACTCCAGCAGAGGACCAGTAAAGGATATAAGCCAAGGTGGGTGAGTGAAGAAAAGATTCTCCACTCACTGAGGCAACCTGCTTACTATGATGATCTTCCTCCAAAGGGTGAATCTGAACCTTTTGGGAAATTCTGGCACAATGAAGGTGTTATGGTTTGGATATGAAATGTCTAAAACCCCTAAATTCATGTGTAAGATAATGCAAGAATACAATAAGGTCTAGAGGAGAAACAATTGGGTAATGAAAGCCTTATCCAATCAATTAATCTCCTGATGGTATTCACTGAGTGGTAACTGAAGGTGGGTACGGTGTGGCTGGAGGAATGGGTCCCTGGGGGTGGAGTGCCTTTGGGGTATATATTTTCTCTGCTTCTGATCATCA